GGAGACTGCGACACCAACGTAAGTGTGTGTTTGTGTGTATTTAGTTTTCCTTGTAAAGCATAGCCGCTAACCCTAACCCTTACACTCTCCATGTGCAGGCAGAGTGTGTGTTTGTGGGTCCAGGTAACGTGTCGTGCGTGTGCTCTGAAGGCTGGACAGGTGACGGTAAAGTTTGTGTGGAGATCAACAACTGTCAGCTGGATGGCAGAGGAGGCTGCAGCCCAAACGCCGACTGTAATCACATCGGACCCGGACAGGTTGGTCGCCGGCAGCTTAAAATGGTCTCAAACTTTGGGTGTAAGTTCAGTTTGTTGCAGCCTAAACTCCGTCAGTAAATCAGTGTGTGCGGTAAAAACCTGGGGGCATTTATTCTAGTTTACCTTTATATCAGGTGCAGCATGATATTACACTTTAAACTTATGGAAAATGACCAATAAGATGTGATGATTCCATATAATATGAAATATCAACCTGATTGATCTTTGAAGGTTTAATCAGAAGGTTATAGTTACGTTTACTTGTTCAGGGACCATAAACACTTCGTTTTAATTCAGTCAGAGTCAGGATATAGTTCATAAAATGAATTTAATTATTTTTCCTAAACTAATGATTTATAGACATGAATAATGAGATGTGATGTGGTGGATTGGAGGTGATGTAATGTGATGTGTGAGGTGGTGTGATGGAAGTTTTAGCAGAAGCTTCTTTCTACCTGAGAGAACTGGTGAAATCTGGGTGTGAAATTATTTGTTGTTTGGTTATAAACTAGAGAGTTGGTTATTGATAAAAGCCATTAGACGCGACCTGTTGTGTCTGCTACCCTTGTGGAGACCCCCCAGTGCAGATCCAGGCTGTCAGAAGTCGGTTGAACCTCGACGTGAAGGTATCCGAAGCCGTAGATTAGCTCCGATACGACCCGTCCGGTCTTGAGATGCCTCCGAGTCACAACATGAAGCTTGAATGCTCGTCTGCGTTCAAGCTTCATGTTTGGCTCTTCAAAGAGCCGTTTGGCTGTGTCAGCGTGCCAAGAAGCTTTTGACTGGATTTCTAAAGAGATGTCTGAAAATTGCTTGTTCCCGAATTGGCCGGTTCGAGAGTCAGCTAGAAACTGAATTAGTCGGGAAGTAATTCCTGTTTTAATGAGCTCATTATTTATAGTTTCTGGCGTATTTTGGCGTATGTGCCATGTATTGAGGGCTTACCAAAACATTCCTCAGAAGACACGCCTTCTTCAGATACAAAGATGTTTCAACACTTTGTGAACGAGAATCTTTAAAACTCTTATGTGAGGTGAATATTTTCCGGTAAGCCTCCAAGGCCAAAGAGCAGGAAACCTGACGATTAACCTTAATCTGTATCTCATTGTAATGTGTATGAGTGTAAACTATGATTAACTTGTTAAATCAAACACATCTGTGAAATACATGTATCATTGTAAGAACAATATTCCTTTTAAATTAATTTATTTAAACACAGATTATTCAACATTTGATTTAAAAATCTTGTTCATTCACCACATGTGATTATTTAAGCTTATGAGTGTAAAGTCATGGGAGCTTCACTTATTCAGAGTGAAGAACGTTCACATCTGGTGTCCACGCAGAGATCCTGGCAGGAATCCTTGAGCGAGACTCTTTACGTCTCCTGTGAGGAACAATAAGTGGGCAAAGGGTTGTTTTGGGAGTCTGGGCCCCGACAGATGGAGCAGCCGTGGATGCTTATGAAAGGTTATGTTGTGTCAGTTAGATGGTGAAACATCGACCTCTTTGATACGTAACATCTCCTCCTGGCTGGCTCGCTACTTTGTCTCGTGAAAGACTACAAATTAATAGTGACCAATAAGATGTGATGATTCCATATAAATATGAAATATCAACCTGATTGATCTTTGAAGGTTTAATCAGAAGATTCTAGTTACTTTTACTTGTTCAGGGACCGTAAACACACTTCACATTAATTCAGAGATATATAGTTAAAAAAATGAAATTTCATTATTTTTCCTGAACTAATGATACGTGACAAGATGTTACTAAGGAGATGTGATGTGGCGGATGGGAGGTGATGTAATGTTAAGTGTAAGGTGGTGAGATGATATTCTCATGGCCTCAGATAAGAATCTTGTGTCTGTTCTAGTCTTGTTAGATCTCAGTGCTGCCTTTGACACAGTTGATCACAATGTTCTTGTAGAAAGACTTGAACATGTTGTAGGGATCAAAGGAACAGCGCTAGGCTGGTTTAAATCCTACCTGTCTGACAGATTTCATTTTGTAAACGTACATGACAAATCGTCTTCATACTCCAGGGTTACTTGTGGAGTACCACAGGGTTCAGTTGTAGGAGTTGGTAAAGGTAGTGCTTTAAGAGCTGAATACATTACCTCTACTTATGACCAGTAAGCTGTGATATTCTATATAAATATAGAATATCAACCTGCTTGGTCTCTGGATGTTTAATCAGAAGATTCTAGGATTCTTTGTTTATTCAGTGATTGTAGAACACTTCGTCTTGATTCAGGAAAGAGTCAGGTTTATAAAAGTAAGAATTTATTTTTCAAACAATTAAAACATGATAAGTTCACTAATGTTACTGTGATGGATGGATCTGGGTGGATGAAATGTGATGGATGGCGCCTTTGTGTGATTATGACGTTGTCAGAACTTTCATATCTAGAAGAGCTGAGTTCTAGGTGCAAAAGGGAAGAATTTGGTCTGCGTTAAGCTATGAAGTTGATTATTATCAAAAGGCATCAGACGCTGTCTGTGTGTCTACTTCACCCTTTGGAAGACCCTCTTCGTGGAACCGAAGGTCAGAGAGGTCGGATGACCTCTGGCACCGAGGTTGTAGATTACTGTAGCACCAACTCTTCAGTCCAGAGATGTTTTCCGGGTCACAGCAGATGGATGGAAATGTTTGCATCTAGGAGGACTCTTAAGGAGTTGGAACAGTATCAGCTTTGTTCTGCAGGAACCGTTTACTGTGTCAGCAGTAGGCAGCTTTTAGCAGGGTTTTAGCAGCTGGACAAAAATGCTCAGGGTTAAAGAGGTGTCGCTCCGGACGGCCGTTCAGAAGTGCTCTCCAGAACCAAAATGCTGAATGGTGGGAAGCTGGAATGCGACTCCAACTGCTGAATCACTGTAAGTGATTCTGTTTTAATATTCTCACATTATGATTTACTTGGCCAATTGGAGTGTGCCATGTTAGGGGATATTACCAAGACAACCTCAGAAAACACACCTTCTGGAGATACCGGATGCTCTGATTTGGGGTAAAGAAATATCTACAGTGGTGTGAAAAACTGTTTGCCCCATTCCTGATTTCATTCCTGATTTCTTATTCTTTTGCATGTTTGTCACACAAAATGTTTCTGATCCTCAAACACATCTAACCATTAGTCAGATAACCTGTGTGAAAAAGTAATTGCCCCCTTGTTAAAAAATAACCCAACTGTGGTGTTTCACACCAGAGTACAATTTCTGTAGCCACCCCAAGTCTGATTACTGCCACACCTGTTTCAATCAAGAAATCACTTAAATATGAGCTGCCTGACACAGAGAGGTAGACCAAAAGCACCTCAAAAGCTAGACATCACGCCAAGATCCAAAGAAATTCAAGAACAAATGAGAACAAAAGTACTTGAGATCCATCAGTCTGATAAAGGTTATAAAGCCATTTCTAAAGCTTTGGGACTCCAGCGAACCACAGTGAGAGCCATAATCCACAAATGGCAACAACATGGAACAGTGGTGAACCTTCCCAGGAGTGGGCGGCTGACCAAAAGTACCCCAAGAGCGCAGAGACAACTCATCCGAGAGGTCACCAAAGACCCCAGGACTTCTAAAGAGCTGCAGGCCTCACTTGCCTCAGTTAAGGTCAAAGTTCACGACTCCACCATCAGAAAGAGACTGGGCAAAAATGGCCTGCATGGCAGATTTCCAAGACACAAACCACTGTTAAGCAAAAAGAACATTAAGGCTCGTCTCAGTTTTGCTAAGAAACATCTCAATGATTGCCAAGACTTGTGGGAAAATACCTCGTGGACTGATGAGACAACAGTTGAACTGTTTGGAAGGTAAATGTCCCGTTACATCTGGCGTAGAAGTAACGCAGCATTTCAGACAAAGAACACCATACCAACAGTAAAATATGGTGGTGGTAGTGTGATGGTCTGGGGTTGTTTTGCTGCTTCAGGAACTGGAAGGCTTGCTGTGATAAATGGAACCATGAATTCTACCGTCTACCAAAACATCCTGAAGGAGAACGTCCGGCCATCTGTTGGTCAACTAAAGTTGAAGCCATCTTGGGTGCTGCAGCAGGACAATGACCCAAAACACACCAGCAAATCCACATCTGAATGGCTGAAGAACAACAAAATTAAGACTTTGGAGTGGCCTAGTCCAAGTCCTGACCTGAATCCTGTTGAAATGCTATGGCATGACCTTAAAAAGGAGGTTCATGCTAGAAAACCCTCAAATAAAGCTGAATTACAACAATTCTGCAAAGATGAGTGGAACAAAATTCCTCCAGAGCGCTGTAAAAGACTCGTAGCAAGTTATCGCACACGCTTGATGGCAGTTGTTGCTGCTAAGGGAGGCCCAACCAGTTATTAGGTTCAGGGGGCAATTACTTTTTCACACAGGGCAACATAGGTTTGGATATTTTTCTCCCTAAATAATAAAAACCATCATTTCAAAACTGCATTTTGTGTTTACTTGTGTTATCTTTGACTAATGGTTAAATGTGTTTGATGATCAGAAACATTTTGTGTGACAAACATGCTAAAGAGTAAGAAATCAGGAAGGGGCAAATAGTTTTTCACACCACTGTATGTCATGAATTTAACTGCACTTTAATTTGTCCTCGTGTCTGGTGCAGGTGACGATTGCCTTGTCATATCAAACATTACTGCTTACCATATATATAAATCAATGTAATACTACTTTTCATTTCAATAATTCAAGCACAGATTAATGAAACATTATTATTATTATCCATATAACATTTGTTCATTTCATTTCATGAATGATCAACTAATAAGCTGAAGCAGTCCTCCTATTATAGAGAGTGGGCACTCCTGTGGTGTTATCAGAGAAGGCTTTGTTTGGGAACTCAAGCTGACAATGTGTTCCTGAAATGTCAACAAGGTTGCAGTATCCTTCTGGCTTCAGGAAGATAGAGTGTAAAATCCACTTTAGGGGATCGAATTAAGTCTGCAGATGACCAGTGGCATCTAGGTAAATATGTAGGTGGAAAATGACCATTTCTGGACATTACACAGTGCTTGGACCAATTCTTTTTACTATATATATGCTCCCAATTGGTAAAATCATTAGACAGCATGGGATAAACTTCCACTGTTATGCTGACGATACTCAGTTATATTTATCCATTAACCCTGATGAACCTAATCGGTTGGGTAGATTACAGGCTTGTCTTGAGGACATAAAAAATTGGATGACTCTAAACTTTCTGCTTTTAAATCAAGACAAGACGGAAGTTCTCATCTTTGGACCAGAAATCCAGAAAAGGAAATTGCTTAGTCAATCACCTGACCTGAATGGCATTACATTAATCTCCGAGAACAAAGTAAGGAACCTTGGTGTTATCTTTGACCAGGACATGTCATTCAAATCCCAGGTTAAACAGGTTTGTAGGATTTCCCTTTTCCACCTTCGGAATATTGCTAAGATTAGAAGCATCCTTTCCAGGAGTGATGCTGAAAAACTAGTTCATGCATTTATTACATCAAGACTGGATTACTGTAATCCATTACTCTCAGGAAGTCCACAGAATGTAGTTAAAAGTCTTCAGCTTGTCCAAAATGCTGCAGCTAGAGTTCTGATGAGAATTAAAAAGAGAGATCATATCTCTCCTGTCTTAGCTTCCCTACATTGGCTGCCTGTTAAATTCAGAATAGATTTTAAGATCCTTCTTCTCACATATAAAGCTCTTAATAATCAAGCTCCATCATACATCAGTGATCTGATTGTTCCATATGTTCCTAACCGAGCACTTCGCTCTCAGACTGCAGGTCTACTGGTGGTTCCAAGAATATCTAAACTTAGGATGGGAGGCAGATGTTGAGGTCAGGTTTAATTCTAAGCACACATTTTTTTTTACTCACTTCCTGTCTGCTTCACCTGCAACTCTTCTAATTTTACTACTGCCAGTGGTTGTGGATGACGTCTGCTAATGTAATTTTCTACTAAGTTACAATCAATCAGTGTGAGTTGACCAAAAGTTCCGCTCAGCTACTCCAAGTACCAAGCCCTGATCAGGAACGCAGAAAGTTCCTGAAAACAGCCTGGAAAATGGCCTTTCGGCCAGCCTGGACAAATGGAGACACGTGCATAATGTAAAGTTGCTGTAAATTTACCCCAAAACTCTGATAATGTAAACAAACGTTAATCCATGTTTTAGGCATTTTCTTACATGTTTAAATAAAGATTATCTTACATGTTTCAGCTAGTGTCTCTAGCCGTCGTCAGAGATCACTGGTGATGGTGGCATCACTTCCTTTTATCAGCGGGCAGCAGAGGATGGTGTCGCCCTCTACTGCCCACATCCACCTTGCTGATGACGCAGTCCCCTGAGTGATCCAATGTGAATGTTCCATCATCTATGTTCATGGTCCTGTGCAAGCGCCTTCTTATTTCTATCGCTTCTTTAATCCATCTTTTATATTTGTTGTTCTGTGTTTATGATCCGTGTACTGTCCCAGTCCATTGTAGGATCGTCTCTTGTGCAGTGTTCTGTTACAGCTGATTTCTTCATTGTACTTTCTGCTTGTTCGACTTGTTCCCCTCTCACGCTCCCTTTGATGTTCTATTGTCATGTGTTGAGTTGACGCCCGATTTCTCCTATCTATGTTTTATTCAATTCAATTCAAAAATATTTTATTAATCCCAGAGGGAAATTGATTAATCCCAGAGGGACATTGATTAATCCCAGAGAGACATTGATTAATCCCAGAGGGACATTGATTAATCCCAGAGGGACATTGATTAATCCAAGAGGGACATTGATTAATCCCAGAGGGACATTGATTAATCCCAGAGGGACATTGATTAATCCCAGAGGGACATTGATTACAGGGTCTGCATGGTATTTCAATACGACTCCACATTATGTATCTGTTTATATTTTGTCCTTTGGGTGTACTAATCCTTTTCTCACGGTCATGTATGGTTTTGTTGGTGTGCCGATATAATGTTTTTTTTATTGTTGCTATTATATTGTGTTATGCCTTTGATTTATGGAAGGTTAGTACTGGTTCTGGTCTTTCTGCATTTCTGGTTCTTTTTTCTTTTCTATTGTTCTTTTTTCTTTTCTATTGTAGTTTGTAGTTTTCCTTTTCTCATTGCCCAAGTTGGGTATCCGCAGGTTTTTAGTTTTGTGTGTGTCGGTCCTCCAGTTTGTGATCTTGCTCTTCTGTTATTATACATATTTGCTATGTGGTATAATGTTCCAATAACTGACATTTTATGTATGATGGGATGTTCTGATGTCCATAATAAGAGGCGGTCCGTGTGCTGGTTTCCTGTATGTGTTTATTTTTAGGGTTTTGTTCATCTGCCTGATTATACTCATGTCCATGAACGTTGTTGCTGTTGTTTTTTTCTTCTTCATGTGTAAACTTTAAGTTGTTGGGTGATGTCAATGCTGTTCAGGTGTTTTGTTAGTGTCTACGGCTGATAGTGGGTTTCCCATGGTGAAGCCTTCTACTTGTTTGTACATGGTTCCGTTTTAAGTGAAGTAGGTGGAGTTAGCTACCAGTTCAATCAAACGTGCTGTGTAGTCTTCTGTGAGTTTTGTCCTTTACTGTAAAGTTTGGTCTTGTCTGATCCTGTTAACTACCATAGTGGTGGTTGTGTGGGCTGGTGTTTTTGTGAACAGGGATGTAAGTAACACCATCAGTGTGTCGTCATTTGTTAGTTCGGTGCTGTTTTACAGTGTTGATCTGTGTTACCTTATGGTGGGCTGATGATCCTGCCTACTTCTTTTGTTATGTACGTGTAGTTGTTCGCATGCTGTCAACTATTGGTCTCAGTGGAGTATTCTGTTTACGCGTTTTTGGGGTTCCATAAATTCTTGTAATTATGTTTGCTGTTGGATTGGAATCCATTGTTTATACATTTCTTCTGTTATTTTACCTTTCCCCTGCAGTGGTTTTAATAATTGTTTTCATGTTTTTCTTAATATCCTGTTTTGGGTCTTTTTTAAACCATTTTGTATGTTTCTGTCTACATGTGAAGAAGAAAAAGACAACAGCATAACGTTCAAGGACATGAGAATAACCAGGCAGACGGACGAAGCCCTAAAAATAAACACCTACAGGAAACCAACACACGGAGCAATAATTATTGTGGACATCAGAACATCCCATCATAAATAAAATGTCAGTTATCAGAACACTATACCACAGAGCAAATATAATAACAGAAGAAAAATACCGCAAACTGGAGGACTGACACATACAAGCACATGAAAAACCTGCAGATACCCAACATGAATAATAATAATTTTTTTACTACAATCAACAATTGAAAAGATAAAAGAACCAGAAAAACAGAAAGATCAGAACCAAAAGCAGTAATAACCCTTCCACATATCTAAGGCATAACAGAAAAAATAGTAACAATGATGACAAAGCATCGTGTCAACACCAACAAAACCATACATGACCGTGAGAAAAGGATTAGTACACCCAAAGGACAAGATTTAAACAGATGCATATTGTGCAAACTGTAATAATACAGACACGAGAAACCGGATGTCAACTCAACACGTGAAATCGAACTTCAAAGAGCGTGAGAGGGAGACAAGTCAAACATCACAAGAGCAGCCAAACAAGAAGCAGAAAGTGATTTAAATAAATCAGCTGTAACAGAACACCGCACGATGGACTGGGATGGTACACGGGTCATAAACACAGAACAACAAAAACACAAAAGATGGATCAAAGAAGCAACAGAGATAAGGAAAGGTGGACTCAGGACCGTGAACAGAGACGATGGAACACACATTGGATATCTCACGGGACCGTGTCATCAGTAAGGAGGCAGTAGAGGGCGACACCGTCCTCTGCTGCCCGTGGATAAAAGGAAGCGACACAACTATCACCAGCGATCTCTGAGGATGGCTAGAGATGCTAGCTGAAACATGTATGGTACATAAATAATTTTTACTAAACTGTTTAAGAAAATAACTAAAACATGGATTAGAGACATAAACACAGTATGAACGCACAAAAGAGGGAAGCACACCTTTTTACTCAGTAAAGAACTTTTTTGTCTGCTTTGTCCCCAAGAAATGACCTCTAATCAGCCTGTTTTGTCTTCAGAGTGAGTGTGTCTGCAAGACGGGCTATATGGGCAACGGGAAAGTGTGTGATCTTATCAGCCCCTGTCTCACCAATAACGGAGGCTGCCACGACCTGGTACATGCACACACACACACGCACACACACACACACACACACACACACACACACACACACACACACACACACAGCTTGTACAGCTCAGGATTTTGAAGTTTTCCACACCTGAGCTGTCAATCTGGTTCAGCTGCATGAACTTCTTCATGGAGGGAGGAGAGGCAGAGCCTCTTTCTGGGAAGCCCCTGTCCAACGTGTTGAATTTGGGGAGATGCCAGTCTCCAGCCCCCGGGTCAGGCAAGGCCGTAACACACAAGTTACAACAGAGTAGGGAAACTGATATTGTGACTTTAAAAAGTGACTAAGTTCAGGTTCTTTACAAAATTTCCCAAAACAGCTTTCTGCCGATGGCGTTGACAGGAGAACAGTCTGCACTTAACAAGTGTAACCCTCTCTAGGCCAGGCAATTCATACTAGGTCCGTCCACAGAGCCAAAGTGCGTGAATAAAACACAATCAGACTTTATTTTCCAGAATAAACATGTTTATTAAAAAAACAAGATTTAATAATATCTATTAAGGTATTACCTTCATATTTATATTTATTTATATCCATCCATCCATTGTTTGAACCCGCTTTGTCCACGTAGGGTCACGGGGGGCGGTCAATGGGCAGTCAGGCGGGGTACACCCTGGACAGAGAGCCAGTCCATCGCAGTATTTATTTATATATTTTTAAATATTATATTTTATAGTATTATGACAAGAATTACTAAACACAATACCAAGTACAATAAATGGAAAAAGATAACACAAAATATATCCCGTGATTTCCAGAGTCCACAAGTATTTATGAGAGATCTCCTTTGACAGTCCGACCTGCAGTCCTAACCTTTTTATCCAGCCGTGAGACTGTGTAGGATCAAGATGATGAACAGTTGTCACATCAGGAGTCCTACCACATCACAGTGGTTATGCGTGGCGTAAATCATATTTACCAAGACTCACTATGCAGAAATCACAAATCCAAGCAAATGGTTTAAGTGCACTTAGGTCAAAACTCAACCATAACAAGACAGCCAGGCCACGTTCACTTAGGTTCACATGATTACGTTGTACAACTACTTTCCATACACTCTCAAGACAAATCTATCCTCTCACAATTATAATAAATAAATCGCAGCGACTCACCACTGAGTAGATGTGTCCGGTTACAGCGAGAGTGTGTGAACGATGGCTGGTGATCTGCTGCTGTGTAGCAAACAATCAGTGAGGCACACACTTACAGTGACTGCAAAAGCCACTCAAGCAAACACACTCACCGTTGCATCACTCCCGTTCAGACTGCTCCACATTAGACATGAGTATGAGTTCGGACTGGTGTTCAGTCGATACACAATGACACTAAATCACCAGTTCCAATACGCCACAGCGGGAGCGACTGGGAATAGACCGTCATGAGACCGGTCACCCCACTGATAATGTGTTGTTGCAATAGTGATGCTGCCGCGTGGAGAAACAGCTGATGCGCGCTCTCAGCGTTGACGTGGAAACATGTAAATGCTGAACGTAGTTTGTGATGAGAGATTTGATGCTACAGCAGTTGGATGCTATTTGACTAATACAGTTTTCATTTGTCAGGCAAAATGTGAGCAGAGAGAAGGTAGAGTCCACACCTGTACTTGTCCTGATGGCTACGCTGGAGATGGAAACCTCTGCTATGGATCATTACTGGATGTAAGTCTTCAGACCCACAGTAGGATGCAGTCAGACGCTTATAATCTTACTGCCTGTTTTAAAGAGCCTTTACTAAGGCTACTTACTTCATTTATTTATTAATAAAGCATCTTTCACAGCCCAATGTTCTCAACGCAACCAATAGGTAATAATAACGGTTTAAAAACCAATAAAAAAGCACAAGAACAAGAAAAACTATTCAAATCAAGGTTGCAATCCTCAAAGCTGGAAGGGCCTGAACATAATAATGGGTCTTCAGGCACCTACCTAATAGTCAAAGGAAACTCATTCCAGAGCTTTGAAGCCAAAACTGCAAACGCACGATCCCCCTCGATCTGCACCCAGAGCGAGGGACGATCAACATCTCCTGCTCAGCTGAGAGAACACGGCAGGACAGGACACGTCGAAGCAGCAGTGCAGAGGAGTAGTCGAGTCTGGACAGGACAAAGGCATGAATGGCACACTGTAGGTGCTTTCTAGACAGCATGGACTTGATCCTGGCTAAGCATCACAGCTGGATCACACAACTGTGTTCATTAGTGCTTCATATTTTAGGGCAGAGTCAATTTTTACACCAAGACTGGTGACAATTTCCCTTTCACAGTATGCCAGAAAGCACAGGTCCAGAAAAGAGGCGGAGCCCTCTACTCTACCAAAGCTGAGAATTATGAGTTCAGTTTTTGAATTGTTCAGATGTAAAAAGTTAGCAGCCATCCAGGACCCAACATCTTTTAGGCAGTCCAAAAGTGGAGAAGGATACCATGATGGACCATGTTAACGGCCGCAGACAGATCCAGCAGCAAGAAAACCACATCATCCATGATACTTGCCAAATAGTTATAAGGATATGAGGATAAACGGAGTAGGAAGTGACGCCACCACCAGCTTGCAGTCGGCAAACTAAACGTCAGCAAGGTCAAGAGAAACCTTTCCTGTGTTTTAAGAAGAACCAAAAATGGAATTAGAAACTAAACACAGTAAGAACACACCAAAGATGAGGAGAGCAGTCTCAGTACTGTGACCGGCCCTGAACCCTGACTGGAAAGTCTGACTTGACCCACTCTCCCTGTGAGATAAGCTAAGATATGTGTAGCAACATGATATAAAGGTACAATACAACCAGAAAACAGTCACTAGATAAAGTCAGATAAAAGAGCAAAAATACGACAATTTGGGCAATATGCAACATAGCAGCAAGTGAGTCATGGGAGTTCAACTACTCTACTTGACAGTAACTCCCTCCACCTGTGCAACACATTCTCACACCCTAAGCGTCGGAAACAAACGCTTGGTCAGCCACCCTCCACGTCAGACCCCAGACGCCAAAAGTGCCCTTTTTTGTTACTTATGTGCGAAAAGGGGTTTTCCCTTTTCTAACTGCAGATCCCAATGCAGCGTAAAACTGACGTGATGGGATGTCCGCTGATGCGGCACCGAACCAGCTCATTTAACCACACCTAAACCTTAACGTTTCGCTATTCATAACCTTCCCCTCACCCTCATCCTAACCTTTACCCTCTTGCTACCTAAAACGTTACTCTCACTGTGACCAAGCGTTTGTTTCTCCTGCATTCTGACTCTGACAGTCAGAGTCTGACTGTCAATTTTCGTATTTGCCGCCCAAGGGGAACGTTAGAACATACCATCTGGCGAGGGGGAGGTTACACATACCCTCTACTTTTAACCTCCCCCTTGGTAGTTGAAACCTCCCCCTCGCGTTGGCTCGGTCCAAACTCGACCAATCACGAGGCGGCTCCTGCCGTTCACCTCATAGAGCCGGCTTTTAGAGCGACCATCACTAACGTGTTCGGGATGGGGTGAGGGGAAGGTTAAATAAGAGGATAAGGTTAAGGTGAGGTACAATGAGCTTGTTTGGTGCCCTGGCTGCGGACATCCCATCACGTCAGTGTAACGCTGCATTGGGATCTGCAGTCAAATAAGGGAAAAACCCCTTTTCACACATAAGTAATGAAAAAGGGCACTTTTGGCATCAGGGGTCTGACGTGAAGGGTGGCTGACCAAGCGTTTGTTTTTGACGCGCTGGGAGTGAGAACGTGTTGACCTGTGAGGTAACTTACTTTACTGGTGACTTACCTCAGTCCTACGGCACCAGTGTCATGCTTTATAAACTGATGCAAACTGATTAAGAATAATCTCCATGTTTTCATAGTTATTTCACAATGTCAAGGAGCATGTGTGTACTTTTAGATGTGTGCATGTGCACGATTTTACGGAACGTCAGCTGAGTGAATGTTCTGCTACACTGAGTTTAGCTTTAGGATATCAGCTGGTTTGTGTTTGCAGTCTCTACAAACCTATGGATACTGTGTGTGTGTGTGTGTGTGTGTGTGTGTGTGTGTGTGTGTGTGTGTATGTAGGAGCTGGACATGAATACCAAGCTGCACAACTTCTACAAATTGATCCAGGTGTGTATGACTCAAGCTTTTCTGTGTTTAAACTGAAAATAATTCCTGCAGAGCTTCAAACTTTGTGGGACCTGTGGAGCCGTAACAAGATATTTTCATTAAAAGTTGGAGTTAGAGACAAGTCTTGTCTCCTGTAAAGACGAGACTTGTGAGGGGACCTTGGCGTTGTGGGCCAGATATGGATAATGATATGTCAGGAGATATTTAATTATCTCTTCCTCTTGATGTCATTCAATTCAAAGATACTTTATTAATCCCAGAGGGAAATTAGAGTTTCAGTACACACAATTCTGAGATCAGACATGCATAGGCAAGACACATGACAAGAATTGGTGACTGTGGTCATTCGCAACCCTGAGTCGCTCTACCTTAATAGAGATCATACGGTTTACATGAGGATTGGATCAGGTGGAGGGAAAAAAATGTACTTCAGAGTTACCCTCCACAGGGAGGGCAGCTTTGCTAGGCAAACAGCACCTCAGACAGAAATGCAACAGACTTCAGACAACACAACATAAGTGTCCACTAGGTGGGATGGTGGGGTTTTGGGACTCTCCACACGTCAGCAGCAGCAGCCGCGATAAGCAGTGCTCGTATTATCTCTGAGCTCCGGGAGTGAGCCAATATTCCTCGACAGCTCATTAATTTTCCGGTAAGTCAGGTAACCTCCAAGGCCAAAGAGCAGGAAACCTGACACCAGCACCACGGATATCCAGACATCTTCAGAATCCTCTATAAACAGCTGAGAGAGCCAAATCAGGTTCCACTGTTTCCAGGAGTCCATGATGTGCCCAACTGGATGTGTCCCAGAGGGGCACCCGGGAGCCCCTTCTCCCGTTCTTATCGTTGAGAAAATTTTGTCAATCGCGTTGAGTGACCAGCTGACCAGGTCCATTTTTAATAATTTCCAGTTTCCAGAAAAAATGTAGAAGCGCCGTACACCCAAAGACAGACAAAGAGCCTTGGGGATAAGATAGGGAGGATAGGAGGAAAAAAGCGTCTGTACTCTCCAAGAGCCGGAAGAAGAGAGCATGGGTGTCATGACACCAGCCGGTGTCGTGGGTGGAAAGCACACAGTTAACCTTTGGCACACTGATGGAGCAGGCTGTGGAAAAATACATGGCCTTGCCCTATGTTACATATCCCCCCTTTCCAATGAATTGGGGTCATGAACAGAAGAACACAAGTCCTTGAAAAAAGTAGAAGGCCATGAGGACATAGTACATGTAAATAATGTGAGATCCAAGGTAAAGACACACTGCAGATGAAAGAGTGAGGTTATCCAACCACCCCACACAGCAGACGTCAGCATAAATCCCAATCAGCAATTATAATCCAAACATAACGGCCTCTACCGAATGGGACCAATGCCATGTCAAAGACCAGAGTACTCATTTATCAACCGTACTTGTGCACAGATCTGTGCGTATGTCGTGCATAGGAACATTTGTATGCATTGTGTTGTGTTCATCATTTTGTACCTGATCTTGGAAAATGTAAGAAAACTTCAGACCATGCATACGAACAGCATCTAGTTGTGGAACTGCAACACCGAAGATCTCACTCATCCATAAATTATTTTACCCAATACATAATTATATATAATATTTATTATTATTATAATATTATATATTATTATTATTTTGGTGGAAAAACAGCTGTGTCACATAAGTGGTGTTAAAACACCCGACAGGAGTCTGACATTGTAGAAAGGATTTCATGTTTTTTGTAATTCCAAATGTTACTCTTCCCATTTTTATATTCTTAATAAATTTTAAATAATTAATATTATTTTAATTTAATTATATTATATGGTACTATGTTTTAGTCCTTCTGATTTTGCATGATATGCCCCAGATTAAAGATTGTTTCTTATTAATATTAATAATAATATTAAGGGTTCGTCAGAGCGTGCTCTCTGGTGTTGGCGTGTTTCCGTGACAGGAGATCCATCTGGACCTGTGCTGGGATCTGGGACCCTTTGTGGAGCGAAAGATAAACTGCACAAATCTGCTTTCAGTCCATTTGTTTTTTAAATTACAGCGATGAGAACCTCCCAGAACCTCCTTTGCTCCCCAACTGTAACAAGACTGAATGGCAGTTCAGAAAAGGCTGCACTCTTTGAAGTTTCCAAATAAAACTAACCAAACAGAATGACTCCTTAAATGTAAAATCTCTACGATTTATCAGATTAAAGTTTTTCTTTCTTCCTGACAGGAACCGCTCCTCTGTCTCACCTAACTTGTTTGGTTCTTTTGCGCCTCTGCAGCCCAATCTTGCAACAAAATATAATTTTTTTCCCCTCAGGTAGAATGCAGGGAATCCCCTTACGTGCTGAGGATGTTGCATGACCAAATATGGTTAATTGAGGGAGTTTCTGTATGTAAATGACTGAAAACAAACACAAGCACCTGGGTACGCACAGGTGGGATTTATCATCAGGTGAGTGCGGAGGAACATGCACACGACAAGCCACCACACGTGTCATAAATCAGGTTTTTCACCGTTCGTATGAACATTCTAAATTTCTTTCATTGGAAGGAATTTAGGAATATTTCTATGAACGTTTGCTGAATGAGGCCCCAGGAACCATCATAATCCAGGGTAATCCATACCAATCCAGGGTCCTCATTTATCAAACGACTGTAGAAACTGTCCCATATTCCCTCCTACAACCAAAATGTAGAATGTATGAATGAACAGTCAAAAGACTGATTTGTGAAATGTGCAGTGGCCTCTCGTACGCATGTTCCTCCGCAGTCGTGTGATGATAAATCCCACCTTTACCCAGCGTACCCAGGTGCTCGGGACCATTCAGTTCAGATTACCCACCCTTTTTGGAGACCTTGGAGGAGGTGCTGGAGAGCGCTTCTCCGGCGACTCCTTCGCTCTGCTGGGGGACTTTACCGCTCACGTGGGCAATGACAGTGAGACCTGGAGAGATGTGGCTGGGAGGAACGACCCCCCGATCTGAATCTGAGCAATGTTTTGTTATTGGACTTCTGTGATCATCATGGATGGTCGATAATTGTCGCGAGCCAAGCCACCGGGCTAAATCTGGGTGTTCAATCTCAAGGCCTTGGCTCACGATACTAGATGGTGGGCTTGACCTCAGACTCCTCTAGACGAACACCTTTACTCTGTGGAGAGATATTTTACCTTGTGCAACCTCGGCTTTTAATTCTGGTAAAGTCACCTTTATTTTACTGTAGGAAGACTCTTTCTGTATCAGAACACCCTGCATGAGCTCATCACGCTCAAAACAGACCCTCGTCAGCTTCTCCTCTGAACAGGAGAACGCTGATGTAACAACCTGGGATGGAATGAAGCAACCAGCAAACTTACCTTTTGCTCTGCCAGAGATGGAAAGGAGGCACCCACAAATTACTTTTAATTCCTTCCCAAAGAAGGGAAAAGTTTATTCCACACACAAAAAGGAAAAAAGGTAACCCAACACTAGGAAGAACAGCTTAGGCTAATTAGGAAAAGTTCTTATCAAAAAACCCGAGATACTAGCAGATCCAAAGACGAGTATCCGGTACGGATAAAGCATTTTTGACGAATACGAGCATGAGACGAGTAAACCTCGTAAATATCTGTAATCGTGCTGAAGGAAAATCCTCATTGGGTAACTGACTGTCTTCACGCTCTGTGATTGGCCAGTCACATAGAGCGCCCGCCCCTCCCTACACACAAAACTCTCTAGCCGGCCGGGAGCGCAGTCCGTCCGGCTCATCCACACACACACACACACACACACACACACACACACACACACACACACACACACACACACAGACACACAGACAGTAACGGATCTCGCTGTGATTGCTTCACTGTTGCTCACGTTTCTTCAGTTTTCCCTAGGTTTTCTTCAGCTCGCCTCTTTTTCGGTTGAAGATTTAAAGTTACTTTTTTCGTAACTTACATGGTGCATTTGACAAGACAGAGCTGACGTGCTGCATTAACTCACTACCTCCGCTCTGGTCGGGTTTTTTATTTTTTTACTCCCTCTCTCTCCCTCTCACCCTCCCTATTTCTCTCTCTCAGACACACACACCTTAATCCACATTGTTTTGTTTAACTTTGTGGGGCAAAATGCCAAGAACGTGAAGAAAAAATAAGTTTAATCAAATTAAAATAAAAAAATATATATAAAGTTGTGTCTGGTTCTAGCATTTCATATTTCCTAGTTCCTACTGCATGAGTTCAGATGTATTAATCCATGCACTTAAATAATAATGTTCTGATTTTATTGAAACACTTGTTCTGTAATAGTTTCTTTACTATTGTGATCAAAAACATTTAATCTCAATTCTGAGGCTGCTCTGTAAATAGTTTTCAAATAAACAATACACATAGCAACTTCTGATCATTCCATATCAATTTCAGACTTAAAATGATACATTGATGTAAACCACACCCACTTCTGGTTTAACCACGCCCACTTCCGGGTTATGCCACGCCCATTCCGAGTACAGATACAGATAGTGGTGTACTCGCTCATCCCTATTAAATATCCCAAGATATTTGTCTGTATCAACATTTTGATCAAAAGTCCAATCAATAAACTAATATAATTATCAAAACAATGGAGAGGATCATTTGTAGTGAAGCATAGAGCAGGTTTTTTTCATATTTAAGCTTAATTTATTATCACAAAGTCAATCCTGAGCCAAGCTGAAGTCTAACTGTAACTGAGTTTGTGAATGAAAAGGATCAGACTGCAAACCAAAAGGGAATCATATCAATGTAAATGTATAGAATGGATGGATGGACACAAAATTATTTTTCTGTTGTGTTGTTTTCACAGAAGTTCAGCCAGTCCTCTCAGGACCTCAGTGGGAACATCACAGTACTGGTTCCATCTCATGACGTTCTGAACAACATGAGTACAGCTGATAACGTATTCTGGACCAGCCGACACCGCCTGCCTCACTTTCTGCGGTCAGTAGTTGAAACTCTCGTCAGTGAATACAGAAGTTTCCACAAGGATGGTGGCTAACCCAGATTTGTGTGGCTCTTAAGTGTAGCGATAAAATCTCAGGAGCGCCATCCAAGCAGATTATAACAAATATCAGATTAAAGGGACAAGGTGTAGTTTTTATCGGTAATCTCTGGAAATATCAATTGAAATGTTGTTAAAAATGAATTAAATGACGCCCAGTTGTTGAAAAATATTGTTGGCTTCTTAAAACATAACCATAAAAATCAGGTCTAAAAGACATGGGAGCGGGTTTCTCTCGGGGCGACGCCATATTAGATGCCATGTTTCCTTCTATGGGAGCCCTTGAGGAAAAAATGCATTTACTGATTTGTAACAAATGGTTAAAAAAACAGCTCATTAAATAGACATTCCCACTGACATTAGTTAGTTAAGCTCATTACACAATAGAAATGATAGAAGCAACAGATCAAAGAGAACAATAGATATAATAGATGCAATAGATCAAAAAGGTCAAAGGTCCTCAGCTGTCAATCAAGCTGATGTTACCTAAAGTCAGACGTAGTCTATTAGCTATTTAAACAGTTAAGCTGACCAGTTTTTAATTATGTTCAGAGGCTTCTTCTGATAATATTAATCATACATATGTTCATGGGGATAGGGTTAGCGCTATCTAATAACGCTGTTTCCTGCCAAACTTCATATTTTCCCAATACATTCGGTTAACTTTGACAGTTAGGCTCAGCTTCAACTGCAGTTCAGTTCCTTTCCAGCGTCTTCATTTATGAGTTGTTTTAATTCAGCAGTATACATTAGAACATGTTGCCTTCTGCTCCCACTCACATGATGCCCTTTACCACTCCTACGTACTCGAGCTCGTACCCTGGAATTCGCCCCTGGCCTAGCATACATTATGTCCTCAAAATATCACTCTGGGTGTTTTCCTTCATTCTTTTCTGCATGTGGGGCCCACTTCATTAGTTGATCCAACGTGTTTTTGGATACACTTCTGAATTAGAGGTTTAAATCGGTGCAACAGTGCATTCTTTCAGTGATCGTGTAATCTGCACTTTTTTTTCTCTCTGTGTGACTCACGTAGCCTCTACCTCTGGAATAGTTCTACCTTTCTGTTTTTTATTCTCCATTGCTAGGGTTTTTCCTAAGGTTGACATGTCTCATGATCTAGGGTGCATTTAGTTATATTTCTATATTTATAGAATTGACAATGATCCTGGGTCTTTTGTGTTGCTGCGCAGGCTTAAGCCGGGTGGGCACTGTGCGACTTTTTCACTCGCAGCGTTCAGCTTCAGCTCAAACTACGACTTCCTCGCAGGGTAGATCTCACGAGCCATGTGCTCACACTGCACGACCCAGTTCTCGGATGCGACCTGACTGCTCACACTGTACGTCTGGTAGCAACACGTCGGCCCTAAAAATATGCTAAAAATAGCAGTTTTTACACAACACGTCAGACTTTTTTGTCTTGTCTTGCCTGTTGTCCTTCTGGAGTGCTGCAGGAGGACACACAGGGATTTATGGGGGTTGGATGAGGAAAACGAAATAAAGAAAGTAAATCTGTGTTTGTGATCAGTTTAATTTGACATGAACACGACAAACACGCTTTCTTGACAATCTTTGTGCGTAAAAAAACGTGTAGAAACAAAAACGAACAACGTGTGTTATTAGGGAAATAGCGGGGGAGCGGTGTTGATACGCCGTGAGCGGTTCGGATACCTTTTTGGGTCGCAGCTGCTCGCAGCGCCGCTTCAACAGTGCGATACCCTCACGAGGGACGAGCAAAATATTAAACACGCCAGAAGTCCTTGCGAGCTCACGATTGCTGATCGGTAGCTGGTCATGTGGTGTTAATCATCTCTCGTAACCCCCTGTACACGACGCTCGGAGCAAAACTCACCCCGATCTTGTGGATTCTCGCACGAGTGGAAAATCGGCTCAAAACAGTGAAAAAGTCGCACAGTGTACACCCGGCTTTAGTCAATGGATCAGTCTTTTCCCCAGAGGGGAAGGGGAGGGGAAGGTGCAGGGATTGCTCTCATTAGCTGAGGACGTGGTGTGACCAAAAATAGTTCATCAAGAGCATTTACGTATGTAAACGGCTGTGAATGGACACAAGAACCTGGGTATGAACATGTAAGACCACTCGACTGCAGAGTGACACACGAATGGCCAGAAGTTTCATTAATCAGGATTTTGGCCAAAAATTCTAAATTTCATTTGTAGGGTGGAATATAGGACAGGTTCGTAAAACGATTTATAGATGAGGGCGCAATAGGGTGATTCTTCATGGTTGTGTTCTACTTGTCATTTCGTGCTTCGCGTTCTAGAGCTCACTTCTTGGTGGGAATCTATTCAGTTGAAGATCTGGAAGGTTTGGTGGGAAGCAAGATTCCCACTCTGGACCCCTCCATCCAGTGGGAAATCAGAAATGTCAGTGGGGTAAGAACATTTTTAATTTGTTTTACAACTACATACATTTCTGTCTGATGAATGTGATTTCCAACAACGTTTATGTTTGTTTATTTGTTTTTATTGAGATGCCCATTTTCTACTGTTAAAACAGTTCCTGGGGTCATTGCATCATCAAATGAACATAAATAATGCATTAACACTGAGCAAGCAAGCAGACAAATGTGGCTTTATACACACAGCATTCATACCAACTTTACAATACACAGAGTACAAAACTAAAGAAAAAACTTTTCGCATCAAACAACAGGCAAGAAAATAAATAAACTATCAGACAAGCCAAAAATAAGGAAAATTAACAACCACAAATATTCACAACATTTTCCTAATGAATATATTGACCTTTTGGGCGACAGTGGCACAGGAGTTAAGTGCTCGCCCCGTAATCGGAAGGTTGCAGGTTCGAGCCCCGCTCAGTCTGTCGCTGTCGTTGTGTCCTTGGGCAAGACACTTAATCCCACGTTGCCTGCTGGTGGTGGTCAGAGGGACCGGTGGCGCCGGTGCTCGGCAGCCTCGCCTCTGTCAGTGCACCCCAGGGCAGCTGTGGCTACATCGTAGCTCATCCCCACCAGTGTGTGAATGTGTGTGTGAATGGGTGAATGACTGGTTGTGTTGTAACGCACCTTGGGGGGTTCCAGGATTCTAGAAGGCGCTATATCAAATACAGGCCATTTACCATTTTGCACCGACGTCACCGAATCACGTGGGCCCACCATGGTGGACTTCAAAAGCATGTAAACAGTGAGGGACACCAGTACTAAACACAGGGAAAAGTTGAGCCTGAAATTGTTTTTGTGATCAAAACAAAATCAAAACTCCTCCAGCATTCCTTCCACTAGTTCATGCCCAGTTCAGTTATCAGAAGAAGTCGCGCATCTAGCCGGAGCACATAGAGAGCGGTATGCTAACTAGCTTACCAACGTTAGCTTATGTTCCCTCTGCAGCTGTTCACCGATGTAAACATGTTCCTGACTTTGCCTAAATTCACCCCTCTGGATTTATAACTTTATGTTATAAACAGCGTTTCACTTTACACCAAAGCTGATTGTTAAAAAGTCCGGATCCCTACCAGCTTCTGTTGCTGGTGGTGCTACCGGGTCCAGCTGCTGCTCTCACACCGGAATGAGAAGATCTCATATAAATAAATAAATAACGTCATTTTAACACACGTAGTCATACATCGGAGCTTTGATATTGTTAATAATTGTCTCGCTTTACACTACAGTGGACGGAGCGCAGCCTCTGTGGTGAAATACCCGTCCATCAGGATTATCAATAACTCATATAAACACATCACATTTATCCCTGTCCCCGTCTTCCTCGTGAAATAAATGAACGTTAATCTTTCCCGGTAAAAACATGTCCGCTGCAAATCTGAGGGCTGCTAGTCTGCTTGATTGATCCTGCAGTTCATCTCCGTCCTCACTGTCCATCAAAGTTATTAAAAAGAAAAAAACGAGTTGAGTGTACGTCCTTGTCTGTTAGTGCAGCCGACCACGCAGCAAGCTAAAACCATTTTACTGTCAAATCAAATAAATAAAAGCCATAAAAGGCTACAAACTGGCGTGTTATGACTACCTTCACTGGAGTTCCTACGGGTGTAAACTGACTTTTTGCCGTCCATCATGGCGAAGGGGGTGGTCACATGAGTGGCGTGACGTTGCGTGTAAAGGGTCAATTCAAATATTTAAAGGAATATTAATAACTAATCTCAACCATTTACAAAAATCACAAATATGTCTCTGCGCAATAAAAAATTGAGGTAAACAATTATAGAATAGTACTTGTAAACCAACGTGTTTTAGCTCTGTTTCTCGGCTTCAGAAGCAAGAACAAAGAAACGGGAAATAGAATAGAATAGAAAAACTTTATTGCCTGACACCAAGCGGTTACAGAAATTTGTCATTGAACAGGGCTCATCATCATCCACCTCATCATTCACACTTTCATAGAACAGTAAATACAATAAAAAATCATAAAAACCTAAAATACAGATATAAGCCTGCCATCGTAATAAAACGGATAGACAGTATTTTTGTGTGATATGCTTGTCAGCCACTAGATGGTGCCATTGGATAAGAGAAATACTCCATCTAGCTGCTTTAAATTAATAATATGACAAACATTAATGGCAATCTCATCGGTAAGTAATTTTAATAACACTAGAGTCCACAAGACTCGAGTCTACGAATGCCAGAAGGTCATGCGTGAAACTTTCATTAATTGTAAAACACTTTTCAGTGTATTTACAGTCATTAAATTAAAAGTGAATGTAGATGATTTATTACTCAATATTTCCTATGCGTAAGAATTGATTAACAGTGACGTCCTGTAGCATATGCGATTATCGCAATCTCGGTTTCTCTGGTGTTGCCAGATAGGGACAGGAAATTAAAGTTTAAGTATGTCTCCTGACTTGTGGACTCCTTTGGCCCTTCTTGTAATCTGTTTATGTGGTGTAATGGAGTAATACAAGGGGTGGCCGGGGGGGGGGGGGGGGGGGGGGGGGTAGAGCGGGGAGGAGAACCAGGGGTTAGCATGTTGGAAGCTAATAAAGGGAGTTGAACTCGGCAACAAGGTGTTCTCATTCTGCACCCTACAACAACATACACGACATGGTGTCAGAAGCTGGCTTGCTGTGAACCACTGAGAGATAAGTTTACATATTCCTGAGATGGAAAGCGGCCAGGAACAACCTCAGCCTGGAGCGGTGGCTGCATCGATGGCGGCAACACCCCTGATGGCGACGTTTACTATCAAACCGCCCGAGCCCTTCGACTTTTCCGAGCCTCAGGAGTGGGAGAGGTGGACTAGGAGATTTGAGCGGTTCAGGGTGGCCAGCAACTTGGACTCGTCCACGGATGCAAACCAGGTGAACACTCTGGTTTACTGTATGGGCGATGAAGCCGATGACGTGCTGAGCGGCCTGGACCTAACGGCCGCTCAGCATCAGCGGTACGACGCGGTCAAGTTAGGCTTCGACAGGTTCTTTGTTCCGAGGAAAAATGTAATATATGAGCAGGCTAAATTCAATAACATGGTCCAGCAGCCAGCAGAACCCGTGGACGCCTCCATCACGGCGCTGTATGCTCTGGCGGAGAGCTGTGAGTACGGCAACTTGCATGATGAACTTCTGAGGGACAGATTAGTGGTGGGGCTCAACGATTCGTCATTGTCTGAGAAGATGCAACTTGATAAAGACCTCACCCTGGCAAAGGCTATTACAATGGCCAGACAGTCAGAAGAAATTAAGAGACAGCAGTCAGACTTGAGGGAGTCAAGCGACAACACAGCAGCTGTGGACACGATGCAAATTAGGAGAGGAAAACCGTTCAAACAGAAATACAAGGAGTGTCCGCAGGGACATCAGAGAAACCTGAAGTTGGGGGGAAGCACCCAAATCAAACTAACAGAAACCAAATCATGTGGCAGGTGTGGACGGACGCCCTTTCATTCAATGTCTCAGTGCCCAGCTAATTCAGTAGTGTCATAACTGCGGGAAACGTGGTCACTTTGAGAGGATGTGCTAAGTCAGTGCATGAGGTCGCTAAAGATGTCGATGAACTGTTTCTGGGTGAGATAGCCTCCGGGGAAGATCCATGGATGGCAGACATTAACATAAGAGAGAGTACAATACCCTTTAAGATTGATACGGGTGCTGATGTCACAGCCATCCCAGAACAGGTGTTCAAAGAGATCATACGCAGTGAAGGGAGGCTTAAGGATGTTCCCAGGTCCCTCTATGATCCTGGGGGAATAAAACTGAAGGTTGTAGGAGCGGTCACGGAAAAGCTCTCATATAAAGAAAAGAGCATTGTGGAGACAATCTTCATTGTGAGAGACCTTCAAGTGTCTCTGTTGAGCAGACCAGCATCCGTGGGCCTTAAGCTGGTGGCTAGAGTCGACATGATAAACAAAGAGACAGTTAAGCTAGCATTTCCTAAACTCTGTGATGGACTGGGGCTCATCCAGAGACCATACACCATTAAGCTAAAACCCGATGCTAAGCCATTCTCCCTTAAAGTGCCACGTCGAGTTCCACTACCCCTTATGAGAAAAGTGAAGGATGAACTAAGTAAAATGGAACGCATGGGGGTCATCAGCCGCATAGAGACGCCAACAGACTGGTGCTGCGGTATGGTGGTGGTGCCTAAAAAGGACAAGGAAGAAGTCCGCATCTGTGTAGACATGACAACCCTAAATGAGTCAGTATGCCGGGAAAAATATATTATCCCCTCGGTAGAGCAGACCTTGGGCATGCTGTCAGGAGCTCTATATTTCACAAAGCTGGATGCTAATAGAGGGTTCTGGCAAATTCCCCTGTCACACGAGTCTGCGCTTTACACCACCTTCGTCACACTTTTCGGGCGGTATTATTTTAACCGCCTCCCCTTTGGCATTTTGTCCGCCCCTGAGCGTTTTCAAAATATGATGGTCACAGAGATCCTGGGTGGGCTAGAGAGGGTAGTCTGTCACATTGATGATATTCTGGTATGGGGGCCACAGAAGACCAACATGACGCCAGGGTCAGAGCAGTGCTGGAACGGGTAGAAAAAGCAGGGGTGACGCTTAATATGGAAAAATGTGAGTTTGGAAAGACTGAGATTAAGTTTCTGGGCTGTCATTTCAGCAGATGGCATACGGCCGGATTCAGAGAAAACAAAAGCAGTGATGGAAATGGAGGAACCCTCCAACGTGAGTGACCTGAGAAGCTTCTTAGGCATGGTAAACCAACTGGGGAAATTCCTGCCCAACCTGGCTGAAAAAGACAAAGCGCTGAGGGACCTGCTGTCCAAAAAGAATCAGTGGTGCTGGGGTCATGAACAACGGGAGGCCTTCCGCAGTCTCAAAAAGGAGCTTTCCACTACGCCGGTCCTCCAACTATATGATCCGAACGTGCCACTACAAATATCAGCTGATGCTTCGTCATATGGACTTGGGGCGGTGATGCTCCAGAAAAAGAATGTGGTATGGTCCCCGGTCGCCTATGCTTCCAGGTCATTAAGCGACATTAACGACGCTATGCTCAGCTGGAAAAAGAGGCTCTGGCGCTAACATGGACCTGTGAGAGGTTCAGTGATTTCATCCTGGGCTTACGGTTTGAACTGGAAACTGACCACAAACCTTTAGTGAGTTTATTAGGGGGACAGGCCTTGGATGCACTGCCTCCCAGAGTACAGAGGTTCCGGATGCGCTTAATGAGGTACTCATACAAAATAGTGTATGCACCTGGGAAGACCCTCACAACTGCTGACATGCTTTCCCGCGCTCGTCTCAGAGACAAAACTACCCAAGTGGACAATACACTCATGGAGGACACTAACATCTACGTGGATTCAATAGTGAACAACCTCCCCATGAGTGGCACATATCTGACGGGACTTCAACAACAGTTGAATGCTGACAACATCTGTTCCCAAGTCCTGAGGTTCTGTGCGGAAGGTTGGCCAGATAGAGATCGCATACAAGGGCCAATCAGACACCACTGGCATGAGAGAGCACACCTGAGTGTACATAATGGACTGTTACTGCATGGCACGAGATTGGTTGTCCCTGCCTGCACGAGGAATGATATTCTAGACAAGATCCATGAAGGGCATCAGGGGGTGGTCAAGTGTGGGGAACGTGCCAGACAAACTGTGTGGTGGCCAGGGCTGAGCAACCAGATACGTGAGCTAGTAACTGATTGCAGGGTGTGCATTAAAGAACGAACAAACGCCAGAGAACCACTCCTGCCGAGCACACTTCCAGAGAGACCTTGGCAAAAACTAGGAGCAGATCTATTCTACCTGATGGGGAAAACATACCTTCCCCTTCAGAGCGGGGAGGAGAACCAGGGGTTAGCATGTTGGAAGCTAATAAAGGGAGTTGAACTCGGCAACAAGGTGTTCTCATTCTGCACCCCACAACAACACATACCAGTCCCTGTGTCTTGTCTAGGATGAAGTGCTTGCTTGTTTTTGAATCTTGCATGTGTGTTGATTTGTCTGCCTGCTGTGGTGCACTGTGACAGTTTTGAAACCTATCTTAAATGAATAAAGAGAGTTTGCTCTTGAACCAGCTTGAGTTTATTCAGTAAAACACGCTGCGTCTCCTGTGTGTGCTCACACCTAACACTCACACAAACTGTTTCTGACTGTTGTAAAAACGCCGTAAAGCTCGCCACTGTTGGAACGCACATCCTTTACATGCACCACATGTCCTGATGTGAGACAATAAAGAACTGAACTTATTAGGGTTATGGTTGCCAGCGGCCATCTTGGATCTGGGATAACCGGTTGGAGCCAAAACCTATGATTTGTCACTGGTCATCAGTCCCTAGAATTATTTCTTCATAAATTACTTAGAGCAATCCAGTTGAACATATTTATGGACTTTTGTTACAGATGAAGGATTGAAGCTGAAGAGTAAACACACACAAAATCTTTGATTTGTTTTTGTTTAATTTCCAGACGATCCAGATTGGAAATGCATCCATTGTGATCCATAACCTGCCTGCAATCAATGGCTACATCCACGTCATTAATCAGGTCTGATCCGGAGCCAGTTAGGTCAGAGAGTTTCATATCAAATTTGTTTACATACATGATCTACCATTCATGCCGTCCTTTCCATGTCCTCTCTGTCCCTTCCTTACCGCCTCTCCCTTTTCTTCTGTCCCCTCAGACTTCTCACAGGTTTACCTGTTCTGTCGTTTCCTATTCCCCAGCTGCTTAGCATTATTTTATTTCTCTTTACTGTTCCCTTTATCTTTGTTAAGCCTCAGTATTGTCAAGTTCCTGTTTGTTTAGTATGCTTTTGTAACAGTGACCTTTGACCCCTGTGTTCCCTGTTTACATTTAGCCTCCTTGTTCTGTTCTATTTTTCCCATCCATTCTCCCCCAGTGGAGTTTTGTTTTTCCATATTAGGTTCTGTGATCCTTTAGTTATCCTCCTTGGTTGTTTAAATTCGGTTCCAGGCTTTTTGTGGTATTTTGATTGGCTTTTTGTGCGTCTCAAGCTTTATAATTTGGTCTTTTTCTATTTGTGTTCTACCTCCGTTACTCAGTTCTTGTCTCTCTGGCCCAGTCCCAATCCTCGCACTTCCACCCTTGGATCGCCCTTCAATTGCACGATCCCAACCTAGGGTGTGAGTACATAGGGTGTCTTGATTCTCAAGTATGGAAGTTGATCACGCCCCTTTTGCACCCTTGATCCGCACTTCACCCAAGTCCACATCGATGCAAACTTGGGTGAAGGGTATTACCCACAATCCATTGCTGTGGGAGAAAAGGCTGAAGTTCCTCTTCTGAAAGTATGTATCTTCTAATGAAATTAGTTCACTTTGACAATTAGGTGATGCTCTGAATGTTTTAGACAAATCAACAGTGAATTTAAATGTATTTCAAATTATTATTTGGCTGTTTGTTTGAAAGTTGATATTAAAGGTTTTTGAAAAAAGTATCACAGCGACCAGCATCCAGTCATGCATTGTGGTTGATGACTCAATGCTCCCTGTCTCAATTAGGCAATTATTTGCACACTTGTGTACTACGCACTTGAAGCCTTACAGCGCCATGGACATAGTTTTGAGGGGGGACAGGGTGGTCAAATGTCCCTCCTCCTACATTTCCCAAAGTCAGTTTTTGTCCCCTGCACATTTTACTGTCCAAAAACAATATTATGCTATAATAAAGGGACTATAAGGAAGTCTGACAGCCAAAACATGTATAGAAATAATAAATGTCTTCTTCATACGTTCTCCTGCAACGCCCTGGTCCTGTAGAATGAGCCCTGGCATTTTTACAGTGATTGCCTGTTTTTCTGTAAAATCACAGAAAAAGAGAGATGCTCGGGTCGAGCAGGCTGCTTCATGCGCGTTCACGCTCAGGCATCGCCCGCAGCATTTGCTATCCGTAGCTTTAGCAGCAGAGAGAGAGGCAGTGCCACTTTGTCGCTGTTCCTAACGCCTAGTGACAAAGCTAGCTACATTTCTGAGGACCCTTAGCTACTTTCTGTAGAACTTTCTTCTAGATATTTCCTGCTAATTAGCAACAAAATAGCCGTTTTCACTCCGAACCGTTCTTTGGTTTGACGTTGTTTCAGCTGTCATCAAGGATATAAATGTTACAGAAACTATGAACATCTGTAGTGCTCCAGATCTGAGCATAATTTATTTGGAGTTACTTTTTTTTACAATAATATGTATTTTTACAGTAAGACGCCCCAATTTTTATTTGAGACTCGCTGAACGGCATTGAATTCACAGATAAAAAGATGTGGGTTCAACTTTCATTTTGGAACAATTTTTCAAGCAAGGGAAGGGAATGATCTGAGCATGCAGGAGGACTGACCCATCATCAACCTTTGTCGGCTGTGCTGAAGAGAAAGGTACAGAACCACATTATTTAATTAATTAGCTGCACGTTCTCCTGTCCTCCGGGCCACACACACACACACACACACACACACACACACTGTACGTTCGGCCGGCCGATGAGAAAGTGCAGCTGCAGAGACAGAGGCACATTATTTTTATTAATTTTCTGTGTTCTTCTGTCTTCCGGACCACACACACACACACACACACACACACACACACACACACACACACACACACACACACACACACACACACACACACACACACACGGGACTGTCTCAGCTGTTATTTTCGTTAAGGAGTGTGCACGTACAGCATGCACACCTCATGCACGAGCTTACTTTTGAAGCTGCAGTTAGGCGTTAGGCCTGAGTGGCAATCACGAGCACAAAAACTTCAAATTTCCTTACAGTCCTTTTAAACAGGCACTGGTCCACAAGGACCAAGTGGAAAAACGCTTGTGTTGAAGCCTGTTTCCCAGTGGAATAATTCATAAGCTCATCTACTGGCTCTGCTGATAGTTGCTAACGTGTGATTGGCCATTCCTGCCACCTGTATACTTGACAGTTCTGTTTTCCTGACATTGCATAAAAGAGCCTCTGTAGTGTTAAGGTTGGTTTATGCTTGACGCGGCCGCGAGGTCCGCACGGAAAAGTTGCGTCATTTTGCGTCATTTTAACAACCACGCCCCTCCACCGCGCTTCCGCACGGCCCAGAATTTCCGCAACGCGCACCTCGGAAAATTTCTAACCACGCGGACGGACGGACGCGGAAAAACATGGCAGACCGGCAAGAACTAGTATGGCAGAGGTTGGTAAATACAGACATTTGTATGATTCAGCTCTCAGAGATCACCATGATCAACATGTTGTTAATAATTCTTGGAGAGAAAAGACGAGGACGCTGTTAAAAATGCTGGAATGCCATGTTGTAAACAGTAATTTCTACTTCTACTATGGTGTAGTGTTGGATGCATGCCGTAGAGCTCCATGCTGCCCCCTAAAGTTTGGGAGAATATTGGCTCACCGCAGAGACGAGCCGCATGAACCATAAACGCTGCGAGTTGTGAAGCGCGTTCCATCCGCGAGCCGCATCACCAAGCGGAAAGTAAACGCGTCAAGCATAAACCAAGCTTTAGGCTAACCCTACCCACCCCTCCCCCGGTCCTCGTGCCGGTTGCCCCCCCACCCCCACCCCCCACCCCACACACACACACACACACACACACACACACTTCTAAAGTCAAAACTACATCCATGTGCAGCGCACTTACTCCAAGTGCGCTTTGCTGAAGACTGCAGGGCGCAGTGCGAGTTTTGGGATTGGGCTTCAGTGTCTTTGTGTTTTTCCCTCAGCACCCCGCTAACCAATCACACTTGCAACGGATCAACACGCCTGCTCCCTGATTTCCTCATCACTCCTCAGTGTATTTAAGCCTGCTCTGTTCATTATTTTTTGAATGCTGTAAACTATAGTGATCCTTTTTCTCTTTATTTTCTTCTTCTTCTTTATTCTGCTTCCGTACATTTTTTGGCACACATCTCCTCTTAGTTTTTGTGCCATTTCAACAAATGTGGTATCAAAATGTTCAGCTCATTCAGGACATGCCGGCTGTGACTTTTGGTATTGATACTTTTTACAGTTTTGAAATATTCAGCTTTTAAGTGCATATTTCTCCCATTGGAATACATGTAAAACCCTTCAAATTCTCTAAACTTATGTCTGGTCTTTGAACCTGAACTACTCGAGCATACTTCAACCTAGGAACTTCAAACAAGTGTTAAATTAATCACAAGATATTCAGCTGTGCTGGTGTGATTCAGCTTCTTGATATGTGGTACCATTTCTGTCAGAGCCCAGTTGAAGTTTTAGGTACCTTTTGTGATCTTTCAGGAAAAGACACCACAATGGAAGAGATAGGAGCTGGAAAGTGACTTTGTGCTAGTGGAGGAGATCTGCTGAATGAACTGTAGATCCTATCAACATGAGACTTGCACTGAATGATAGCGGCAGGGACGAAATTTTGATTTCAGAAGTGGGGGGGACACAGCAGGCTTGTGCGGATTTGGGGTGGGGGTGTTATGTAAAGACCCTTTGACACGTCACATGCCCATCTCAATAATTTTTCCATCCTCAATATGTATATATATATATATATATATATATATATATATATATATATATATATATATATATATATATATATATATCAAAGTTAAAAAATGTACAACTCTATTATCATTAATATTTATTATCATTATTGAAGTGCAGTTTTGGCTGTTGACAATGGATAGGCCATTGTATTTATTGTTTTGGGTCTTTTTTTATTGTTTTTGGTGCAACATTTTCTAACAGGGAGTGAGATTCTTTTTTTTATTTAATTTTTGTTTGTTATTTTTATTCATTTAGAAGTTCTGGTTCTGGACATTTCAATGTTAAATGAAGGTTTATTTGTTGCATTTTAAAGGGTGTACTTGCATTATTATGATATATTAACATTATATTAGTGGTTATTTTGGTCTAGATAATGTTGACAATGATATCGTTTATCATCAACAATTTGTTGGACAAAATATCGTCCAGCAAAATTTGTTACTTTCCCAGGCCTAGTCAAAAGTATAAAAAGTATTTATACATAAACGGTCCCTCCTGAGATCTGGCCGTTTGTTCATTTGCTGTGTTGGACATGCTGAACTAATGTTTTACACATGATCATCACCCTAACATTTGTCACAATGATCAATTTTATGTCTATCGTATCTTCATTATTTCAACCTCACCTGTGAGCCTCCAGCCTCTGCTCCATCTCCTCCAGGCTCTCGTCCTCCATCTCCTACAGCCTCTCCTGCTGTACCTTCACCGGTCTCTCCTCCTGCATCTCTGTCACTCACCTGAAAAAAAGATGCATGAACTATAAACAGTGGGAGATTTTGGAATGGAACAAACAGAAATATTTACAGGATGGTTCTAGTATGATTCACAATTATTATTAATATAATGTGTAAATTATTCATTACCAATTTGAGTGTATAAAAACATATTAAATATGTTTTTTCCCTTAAAAGTGTTTAAACAGTTGTTGCATTTCAATACACAAAAAAAAATGGAAAAAGTAAGATAAATCTAATGAAAAGTGTACATCTTTGACATTAAGCTTAAAAAAATCTG